GGCAGGTGCCAGAAAAACCGACAAGGGTCCCTTCCCAGAACACATGGGCTGAAAGGGGATGCACGGTGGTGACAAGGAAGTCTTAGATAATGACAGGTCCTGGCAGATGTGCTGGGGACCCCGCTGGGGGGATGTGTGGCGTCTGTGTCTTCTGCACCAGGTGCTGCGACAGGGAAGGCCTCCCAGTGGCTCCAACACCAGCAATTAAAGCTGCCTAATGCAGAGTGCTTGAGGGCAAAAATTGGGGGGAGGGAGGAAGCAGGTCCCCAGCTCTGACTTAATGAATCGGCAGCGAGCCTGCGTAAACAGGCACGCATTTGCCTGTCTCATGCTTAATTCATGAAGGACACACCATGTGCAGTACACATGTTAAGTAGGTAGCTGTTGCCCTTAAAAACCATGTCATTTTGATTTCTTGGGTGGTTTGTTGTTATTGTTTATAAGCACAGAAAATGGGGATGTTGTCTCTAAAACAAATGTTCAGGATTAACAATGGGAAACAGCAGCTTGGGACAAGGTGAGAGCCCTTTCCCGAAGAGAATATGACCTCTTGTCAAAACCCCTGAATCATGCCAGACATTTCAAGGACAGATGCCACTAATTTCATTCTAATTGAAGACAGACCAATCCAAGGGACTGATGGCAATGAGGTGAGGTCTCTCCAGAGCTTATCCATGTCCCCCACAGACCTGGTAAGGATTCATAAGATTTTTAAAGAGAAATTTACCAGACCTAAAATTATTGAGTTATGTTAAGTCTATGTGTTAAGCCAGAGGGCTAGGCAGCTTGGATGTAGGGGTTGGGCGCCATGCCACAGTTGGCTGATGCAACCTGGATCTTGTCTGTCATCAGACCTGCGGTGCACTCGGATCTAATCCGGATGTAGCACATGTACTCTACTCTGCACATGGCACTCTATTTTGCACACAGGGTTCTACTCTGCACGTGGGGTTCTACTCTGCACACGGCACCAGACCTTATGTGGCACAGTAGTCTGCTTTCCCCCAAATCTTTACCATACATGGACTGTTTCTACCTATAAGACACTCCCCCTCCCTATACCCTAATAAAAATTGCTAAACCCCATCCTAGTGTGCAACTTCTCAGGCCCGTCTCCCCCTCTCTCTATCTCTGTCGGACTAGCGAAACTTGCCCAGGAGTGCACCCAATAAAGGCTCTACATTTCTATTTTCTCACGTGGTTGGCCCATTTCTTACACTATGAACTAGATTTGTATGTAAATAGAAACTTGGCAATCACCTCCCTGCTTTAGCTACACCCTATTGGCTGGAATTTCCATGGCTATTTGTCAGAAGGAAGAGATGCCACCCTAAAACTCCATAGTGACCACTTAAATAGGATGGTCCATGTGCCTGATGGAAGGAACAGTGACCACCAGCACATTTTTCTAAAGCAGGTCACTTGAAAGAAACTTGGCTTCCTGTAAAATGTGCCATGTTCAAAAGATAGTGCACTTTAGTGTACTATTATTATTATTTGCTATAATAATCTATCAACCTTTCAACTGAAGACTATGCAGTCCTTATCTTCCCTTATAATAGAAAGGTAACCCCTCAGAACTAGCTTAAACCTGAGAAAAATCTGCTATTACCTGTTATTATGTAAATTTATGTCCAGAACCCCTTGCACTCAAGAAGGCAGAATGACCTAAAGCTGAACCCATGTGGGAAGGGGCTGCAAATGCTGGCTACAATAGAATGACCAATCAGAATTATACAAGTTTCAATCCTTTATTTGCATAAAACACTTCATAAACCAATGGGACCACAACCCTGGTCAATCAATCAGAACTGTATCTTGCTTCAATGTTTCATTTGCATAAAGAATTGGAAGACTTAGAAGGAATTATTAGTCTATAAAGTAATCTATCATTTTACATTAGGGGAGGCAGATTCGAGGTTTCTCCTGCCTCTTTGCTAAAAAAGAAATGCATTTTCTTACTTCAAGATCTAGTGGCATGGCATTAAATTTTGTATGTGTTAGGCAATGTTTGTTAATGAGAGGGTTTATCATATGAAAACAGCTTAAACTTTTAAACCAGTGAGTCTGGATATAGTGTAGTTGGGAATTTCAATTAAGTAAAAAATAAAATGTGTGCCTTTGTTTTTTTTTTTTTTAAATCCATTACATCTTTCCACTTAGGCTCCAAGTTAGTATCTGGGCCCTCTGTTTTGACCTCCTCGTCTATTTATCTCTTCTTATAAATGTGTACTACCTATAATTTTCCTTTTCCTATAATCCTTGTCTGTTTTTTTCTCTTTAAATTTATTTATTCCTTCCATAAGCCAGGGAGACAGAGACAGACAGGTACTCCAATGGAGTTTTCACATGGCCATCCACCTTTAGCCCAGCCAGCCCTAGATCATAGTCCAAGTGTACCTGGCAAGTTCCAGGAGGTCTCTGGACATGAACCTAGAGCCTCCTCCTGTGGACCAGCCTCACAGAGCGTGGTGTTACTTCTGTCCCATTATTTGGCACCCTTGTCTGTTTTTGATATCAAGGTGTTATACTAGCTTCTTAAAGTAAGAGAACTGTCTTTTCATTCTCTTAGAATAATTTTTATAAAAGGTACACATTTTATACATTTATAAAATTTATAGATTTGAGTTATTCATTCTTTGAATATTTTGTACCTCTAAATACATTTGGGTCTGGTGCTTTTTCATGCGTCAGTTTTTTTTTTTTTTAAGTTTCTTCTTTCCTTCTCTCACTCTCTTCCTTCCTTTTTCTCTCCCTTCTCTACCCTTTCTTCTTTTTGTCCCTTCCCCTCTCCCTTCCTTTTTTTCTTTCATGTGATAGGGATAGAAAGACAGAGGCCTCTGACAGGGTCTTGCTATGCCACAATCCCTGTGTCTCAGCCTTTCTGTAAGTTAGAATCCATGGCATGCCCAGAGTGTTCAGGTCAACCAGGTATCCAAGCCTCTGGCCTTCTCAAATGGACCTGGTATAACACAGTGGCAATATCCCACTTGTGCTACTATGATTAGGTCTCCATGGTATATTTTTTGCCATAATTCAATTTTTAAAAAAGACTAGGTCTTGCTATGTTCCAATACTACTGCTTCAACCTCTCAAGTAGCTGGAACTACATGCTCACAACCAAACATGGCTTTTAGAGTGGGCCAGAATTGAACCCAGGCTTCCCATGTGGCCTTAGCCTGCCATAACTTTGGGATGGGCCTATAATTCATTTTCAAAATAATAATTATTATCTAGGTAGAATTTGTGTTTCCTTTGAGTCAGTTTAGGAAAATCATATTTTTCTAGGAAATTACCTAATTCATCAAATTTATTGTTGTTCATATCACTGTACTGTCATAAGGAATCTCTACCCTCTCTTTAATATTGGTTATATGTGGTTTTCTCCCTTCTATTTCTGATCTATTGCCAGAGATTTATCTATTTCATTAGGCTTTTTGCAGAAATCAGGTTTGTTGATTTCTATGACTGTTTCCTTGCCCTTTACTTAATACATTTTTACTGTTATGTTTATTATTTGCTTTTTTCTCCCTTTGGTTTGACTCTGTTCTTCATCTAAATTCTTGAATTAGATGTTCAGTCTTTTTTCTGAAAATATTTCTTGATTTATTGCAGGTGTTTTAACTTGACCATGAGTTAGCAGAAGTGTATTTGCACCCAGTGAAGACAGCTTGATTTCCTTGCCACTTTCCTGGGCAGGCTGGTGCTCTTTCTTCTTCTTCCCTTCTCCCTTCCCAGTTCTCCCCTTCTCAGTGTCCACTATTTGTGTGTTTTGATTTTATGTGGCGATGTCAGTCAAATTAGTAGCACTGCACAGGTCCAAGATGATAATTCCTGTCCACAGTGGGCTTTGGAGCTTGAGATTCAAGACCATGAAGACTGAAGCTAACTACTGTCCAAGATGACTAGAGACCACCTCTGCCCAGCCTTCTAAGAAAAGTTGAAGGTCTGTTCTCTCACTTTGATTTCTAGTCCTCACTTTATTTCTGGCCTCTATTAGTTTTCTTTACTTTCTCGAGGGTAAAGTTAAATAGTATAGATACATATATGTTTATATATATATATATATTTAATTAAAAAATTCTAGGTATTTTTATATTAGCAAGTGTGCCATTTTGCTAGAATCTTAAGAATCTCTCACTTACTGGGTAATGTCCCTCTTCTTCCTGATTTGTCCCTCCTGATACCTTCTAAGAATAGTAAGAGACAACTCCATTATGATTTCCACTCTAGCATTTCCACCTCAGGCTTACGTCTAGGCTGTTTTTGCTGAGGATAAATCTTGTGATGCCAACTTCTCTAAGAACATTAGGTTCTTCTCCTGAGTTGAGCATAACCACAAAACTGAACTTACATTATCTAAAGCAATTGCACCCTGTGTGTTTTCTCTCTTTAAAATTTTACTTCAGAAAAAAATTCTATAGTATACTACCAAAATTATAACTAGTTAAGAGTTTTCTAGTTAAATAAAAATAGCACTCATAAGCAATTCCACCAGAGAAAACAACACAAAGGCTTTGAGGGTAGGTTATAAGGCCCATTTTACAGATTAGGAAACGGAGGCATAGGAAAGTCAAAGGTAAGCAAGAAAAAATGCTGGAATTTGAATCTCAGGATTGAATACAGTGCTGCATATTGTTTTTAGAGCCAATTTTCCCAAGATAGGGAATGTAGGCAGGTCTAATGCAGCACCTATTGAATTTTGACACCCGACAACCAGCGTTCATGCTCAGAGATATTTTTGTGTGTTCAATATAGTCAGATAAAAACTGCTTTTAAATCTTGAGTGCTTTTTCTGTCTGTTGCTATCGCAACAAATGAAAGCAATTCAGGCTATGTTTACTGATAATTTATAAGCAAGTGCAGCAAGCAATAGGAGGAGCTGTAGTAGTTCATGTTTTTCGAGAACACATGACACTTCAAAAACTTGGCTCACATTGCCCTTTCTGCTTTGGATTAAGCAAGGGACATAATGACATCAGCAGAGGACAGAAACTTACTCTTCCCACTTCCACAAGGTTGGTCACCATGATGATGCTTGCAGTGTTTTCATGCCACACCATCCTCCAGAAGTCATAGATGGTCTCCTGCATTGGCCCTGCAGCAAAACAGAACAGAGACTTTTTTCTTTTTCTTTGTAAGTTTCAATTAGGAAATTTCTTGGTCTTATGAATAAATCTATTTTTTTCATAGTTTATTCCTTTTTTTCTGAGAGAGAGAGAGAGAGAGAGAGAGAGACCCCACAGGCTCTCCATGCTACGATCCACTCCTTGCCACAGCCAGCCCCGAATCATGGGCACATACACACGCCTTGCATGTTCAGGGAATCTCCACGTGGGTCAGCCTCACAGAATATTGCTTTACTTCTGCAGCACCAGCAGGCCCCAGGTAATAAATCTGTTCATCCCCTCATGCTGTACTTCACTTTTATAGATGGACATAGCTCTTTAGTCTTGATGCAGAGTGGCACTCTTTCTATAACTACACCTATAGAAATATCAAATCTTTCATTCATGGTTGAATTTTCTCATGTCATCAAATGTATCTGTATTCCAGTTCTTTTTACCCCTCTTAAACTACTACCGTGAAAGAAAGTTATTTCTCCATCATTTAGCTATTTATCTCCATAATACTCAAGAGTGGAATTTTAAAAAATGGATAACATTACTCTTTCTGCTAACAATTGGCAGATATCCCAGGGAAGTGGTATATAGAATGAAATGAGCCTCTATAGGACAAATGGCCTTTTCTTGTTTCTAATATTTTTCTTCTTCTGTGTTATCTGTCAAATTAATCCCCCCACCCCCCGCCTGACTTTCTAAAGTGAGAGAGAAGACTTTAAAGCAGTTGTACTTCCTCTCACTGAACATAAAGATTCCTGGCAGAACACGGCCAGGCATCTACTTCCTTCGCTCTTGGGATCTGAGTATTAGAAAGCTCTTTCCTATGGCTTGGGGAGAAAAAGAGAAAAGTGCAAAATGCCAGTGCTGCAGATATGATCAGATATAGAAAGTTGGAATTTAAAGTTTCTTTTAATCCAGATTTAAAAAAAAAAAGCCAACAAATTCTACTTTATGCCATGCATACTTGAGAATATAAACATAACTGCATGACTCTTTATACATAGAAACACAAGGAAATGAGAGAAACACAACTTCGAAGGCTTGAAGTTACATGATAAATGTGAAATCATACAAATGTTCAGGCACGTTCAGGACCAGAACCCAATTGTACCGTTATATCTTGACACTGCAGATTACTGGATTTGGAGCTCAAATATTTGAATTTGAGATTTGCTTCTGCCTTTTAACAGACTATGTGATTTGGGGGCAAGTTACTTAGCCACTGTGAGCTTCAGTATCTTCTTTTTTTATCCATATTCTGATTACAGTAACTCCTCTCAAGGTTATTTTGAGGATTCTTAGCATTAATGTAGACTCAGGAATTTTATAAATAGCAAAGCAACAGAGGAAAACAAAGTGCATTTAAAAATATTTATTAGTGATTATCCCTCAGCTGAGGCCTGCACACTAAGCAGTAATAGCAGCACACCTGAGGGCCCCTTCAGTCATCCCCATTCCTCTTGATCAACTAACAATGAGCTGTTTTGTAATTTTTCTTCTCCTTTCTCTTTGTTGAGACTTCCTTCCTTTCTCTGCATAGCCAAGCCTGCTCTCATTCCTCCCTTGCTGCCTCTGACGATACTCTTACCCTCCCCAGGAAAGCTGACTTGGTTTCCTGATGTCTTTGTGTCTAATTCCTTTGGGGATGGGGCCACATCCATGCCACCTCCTGTGAAGCTACACCAGCCATTTAGGTCCATGTCCCCAGGCATGTGCGTGCCATTTTCCTGATGTATATAGGCTGAAGATTTCAGTGACTTTAATTTAAGGTTACAGAGGGGACAAGTAAACATCGGATTCCATCAATCATCACACTTCTGGCTTGCAGAGAGGGACATTCATTGTATACTTAACAGCTTGTTATTTATTCACAAGGGGAAAATGCATGGAGTCCATCTTTGTGCAGATAGTCTTTTCAGTGTGACCCCTGGAACAAAGAGGTGACCTTCACTGGGTACACAGGCCTGTACCACCTACTCTGAAACTTCTGGACATGGATCTGCTGACAATGGCTGTAGTGGATGTGCTGGATGGTCCAGCGTTATGGATAGCACGTGACCACAGGAAGAATGTCCACCTCTTTCACTGGCCTATGGGAGTCTTCCCAGAGACATTCTAGATTGGGGCCCTGTCCTGCACTTCCAAGGTATACCCTTCCTAGTCCTATTTTTTTTTTTTTTTTTTGAGAGATTTTCACTGAGGGCACGTGCGCTCGCCAGACAGACAGAGAGAGACATAGAGACAGATAGCGAGAAATCACCCCCCAGGGGGGATGGTCACGCCGCAATCCCTTCTCCTCCATTCTCCTCTCAGGATCTTGGGCACACACGCACACGCGCCCGGCGTGAGTTTTAAGCCACCGGGTCCAGGACACGAACCGCGGTCGACTACGTGGGAGTCCAGTGACATAGCCATTACGCTAACTGCTGGTTCCCACCTAGTCCTATTTTTATAAAAGTTTATTTATTTATTTCTTCCATGAGTGAGAGAGACAAAGAGGGAGGGAGGGAGGGTCAGAGGGAGAGAGAAAGAAAGAGAAAGAACCACATAAGGAAAAACAGCACTCCCAACAAAGTACTGATACAGCCCAGGAGCATGGGATCATGTTTGGGGAACACTCAGGGAGGTCTTCAGTCACAACCCTGGCATCTTCCTATGTGGGTCAGCCTGCAGAGGGTAGCAGTTTACTTCTGCAGAGCTGTCTGGCCCCATTTACCCTTTCTTAGCAGACAACACTCTGATTCCTTAGTTCAAATTCTCCCTGGAGAGGAACACACCTCTCTGGGTTTACTGCTACCATCTTAGCACCTTGCAGAATTCTTGGCACACAGCAGAAGCTCAGTGAATGAGTAAATCTGTGTGCATGTGTGTATAAGTTGTATTATTATTAAAATGCTACATTAAACATGCTAAGTATTAAATTATATTAACATGTCATATTTGTGTAACTCTCAACTTATATACATCTTGGGGTTCTGGGCACACATACACACATACTATATATATATATATATATATATATATATATGTTTCTTTCTTTCCCTCCCTCTTTCTCTTTCTTTCTTTTTCTCTTTCTTTCTTAGAGATAGGGAGAAAGAGAGAGAGACAGCATCCCTAACAGAATCCTCATGTTGCAACCTACTGATGTGCACATGCCCATGGTCCAGGGCTGGCTGAAGCTGGGGATAGATCCAGCCAGCCTGGATCACAAGTACACACTTTTGTGCCCTGTATGTACAAGGAGACCCCAGAACACAAACCCAGGAGTTTCCTAAGTCAAAGCTTAAAAACACAACACCTTTCTCCTTTCTAATTCATGGGAGGGTGATATGTTTTGGAAGGGTTTTATTAGAATGAGTATGACTATCTCTCACTCCTCAGAGCATGAGTTTGGTATGTTGAAGCTGAACTCCTGGTCCCAACCACGAAGCAGATCACTTCTCCAAGTCTCTCTGCCCCATCAATTTGCCACCAAACTTAGTTCAGTCCATTCTTCTAGGGTAACCAGAATGCAATCCTGGCTTCCCAGCAACTGTTCTCCATTAAAAGCAGGACTCGGGGCATGCATGCACGTGCCTGGAGTGTTTCTTCAGGCTGCAGGGGCCGGGACTCAGAATGAGGTTCATTATGCAAAACCTGGCTTTCTTTCTTTCTAAAAAACTTTGCTAGAGGTGGGTGTGCTTGCTGGAGAGTGAGTGAGAGAGGGAAAGATAGAGACACAGAGAGGGAAAGTGAGAAAGCAGTAGCCCCCACTGTGGGGAATGGACATGCTACAATCTCTTCTTCTTTTGGGGTTTTGGGCTTCTTTTGCATGCCTGGTGTGTTTCTCAAGGCACTGGATCAAGGACTTGAGCCACACAGTTGGCCACGTGGGATTCAGCGGCCTTCACTGCCACGCTGCTGGCTGGCCTGATTTGGCTTTCTATACATAGCACTTAACTGCTCTGCTATGGGGATGGCCCAGATGAGTTTCCTTTTAATGCTAAAATTAGGTGTGGGTATCTAGAACTAAAAGAATTTGGTGTTAAAATCTAGTAACAAAATGAAATGCGAGGACTATTCTAAATTGACCTCATGAAAAGAAAGATAAAAGCACAGTGCAAGCAAAAGGCTTGACCCTCTCTTTGAGGTCCAGCTTTGCCGGTTCTTGTTTCTGCTGTCCTTCATGTGTGTGGCACTGCATGCTGTCGACCTTTGACAGCAGTCTCCTCTGCCATCCTGTGGCCCTCTCCCTGGCCTGGCCACCATGGCAGTTCAACAGTAAAATTCAAGGTCAGACACTGGAAAATCTTGGCTCATGAATCAAGGTTTTCCCCGTGTTCATTCAAATTCTGTTTTGTTTTGGAAGGGGAAAAATGGAAACAGTAAGGCACCCAAACTTAAGGTATGTTATTTTTATTTTTTAAGTATATTTATTTCTTTCTTTTATGAGCAAGAGAGACAAAGGCAGAGAGACAGCACCCCCAAGAGGGTCTTTATGCTGTGATCTATCCCCAAGCTTCAGCCAGCCCTGCCATGGGCATATGCACATCTGACATCTTTAGGGTCTCTGCGCGAGTGCCCAGAATCCTACCACGAGGGTCAGCCTCGCAGAATGCTGTCTTCTTGTTGTGCCACTTGTTCAGTCTCTCAACTTAAGGTTTTTAGTGCAAAATTTGTCAATCTTGTTTTTCTTCTCTTTTTGACATATTTCAAATCACTTCCCAAGATCTGAATAAATTATTACTCAGAGATGCATGTCTCCTGATAAAATAAAAAAGTATACTGGAGGAGTAGACTTTGCTGTCACCAAGAGCAGTTCCTTGGGGGCGGGGGGAGGATGTGAGTGATCACGGCCACTGACAGTCAACATTATGAATCTACAGATGTGTCCCTGTCTCAGCACCCACCCCTTTCTTGGGCTGAATTGCAGGAGGAACAACATGGAGGTCAGTACTTCTCCACTCCCAGCCTATGGCTCCCTGCGTCACTGGGT